TATTTCACATCCTTGGTTAAACTTATTTTTAAGTATTTTGATTTATTTTATTATTTTATCTTATGGCTATCTTTAATCTTTTTTCATTTATCTTATCCTTAATTAATTTATTATTTTGCCTTGTGGCTATTGTGGATGAGATTATTTTCTTGATTTCTTTTTCAGATAGTTCATTTTTAGTCTATAGAAATGCAACTGCTTTTTATATATTGATTTTGTATCTTTCAGCCTTACTGAATTTGTTTATCAGTTCTAACACTTTTTTGAGTATTTTGGGTTTTTTACATAAAGGATCATTTACAAATAGAGAAAAATTACTTTTTTCTTTCCAATTTGGATACCTGTTATTTTTTTCTTTTGCCTGATTGCTCTGGCCAGGACTTCTAGTATTGTGTTTAATACAAATGGCAAGAGTGGACATGCTTATCTTGTTCCTGATACTGGAGAAAAGCTTTCAACTTTTCTCCACTAAGTGTGATGTTAGATGTGGGCTTGTAATATATGGCCTTTATTGTGTTGAAGTACATTCTTTTAATATGCAATTTATTGAGTTTTTCTCATGAAAAGATGTTAAACTTTAGAAAATGCCTTTTCTGCATTTATTAAGATGATCATACAGTTTATGTCCTCTATCCTATAAATGTGGTTTATAACATAATTGATTTACATGTGTCAAACCATCCTTGCATCCCAGTTGATCATGGTAAATGATCCTTTTAATAGGCTGTTGAATTTGGTTTCCTGGTATTTGATTGAGGAGATTTGTATCTATGTCCATCAGAGATATTGGCCTTTAGTTTTCTTTTCTTGTATTGTTCTTCTCTGGTGTTGGTATCAGGGTAATACTGGCCTTGTGAAATGAGCTGGAAAGTATACTCTCCATTTAATTTTTTTCAAAAACTTCGAGAAAGATTGGCATTAGTTATTTGTTAAATGTTTCAGTCTTGGTAGGTTGTATGTGTCTAGGAAAAATGTAGTTTTAATGACTATATATTATCTTATCACATGAGTTCTCTAGCATCTATGTAGGCATTTGCTGACATTTAGTTTTACTCCTCCAAATATTCTTATATGAGGGTCTAATTTTATCTTAGATAAAATTTCTAAAAGTTAAATTACTGGGATAAACATCAACACTCTATTTAAAGTTCTTATTACAAAGAGCCAAATTGGTTTCCAGAAAGTTAGAGACACTTTGTTTTCTGGCTAGCATTATGTGAGAATGCTTGCCTTACTATGTTATTTCTAATTCTGTCTTATCATTGCTAATTTATTAAACACTTCAAGGAAATAAAATAGATGTTTTAATTTACATTGTTATTTTGTTTTTTATAATGATGTTTTACAGATCTTTATAGATGAAAGCCACAAACAATTTAACACTTATGTATGTGGCCATTTTTTTCAGTTTTAAAATTTGGCTACATGGTAGGATTTATTAGATAGGGAAAGATCACAATATTTAGGTAGTTATAAAAATCCATACTCTTCCTTATAATTTTCAGGCAATTTTACTCTTAAAATTTCCATCTTATTTCAGAAAATACTTTCTTATACATATGCTTAATAATTTTGTTAATTATATTTAACTTTTTATTTCATCTCCAAGCTATTTAGGTGTATTATGTATGTTGAGACTTTAAATTATTGTTTTCAAAGAGCTGATTTTCCTGTTAGCATTTGTAATGACTTTTAAAAATGTATTATTATTTTTTACAATCACTTGACCATATACTGACTTCTTATATATATGGTAATAGTTTTTCTGAGCTAGCTCGCTAGTTCCAGTAGTCTCTCAACGCTCTCTTTTTCCATTTCTCCTCACTGACCTTTTATTATGTTTTATTATCTGTTATTTCTGATAAGCTTTTGATTCATCTGCCAAATGTCAAAAAATCCCCTTATTATATTCATTGTGGTTACGTTGAACTCATAAATTACTTTGGGAATGTTGGCTTTTTGCAATATTCTGTCTTCTACACCAAGAATATAGTAACTTGCACAGCCCTAATACAACCTCTTTCTTATTCTCTGAAAATACCATTTTATACCTTCACTCTCAGCTTCTGAAACTGCTTTATACATCATTGGGAAATTAAAAGCAATCATATAGGACTTCCTCATTTTCTACTACCAATTTACCATACATCTTCACATAGCTTTTCGTTTTTGAAAGAGCCTGTAAGAGGTGAAACCCTCCACTAATGCTCTTCATATCTAATTCTCTTAATAGCCAAAGAAATTGGTCTTGCAATACCTGATTCTCCTCTACATCATTTCTCTGTTGGAATATAGCTATAGGTCACATACATGCTCTAGTATCTTTGATCTTAGGGAAGTCTTCCCTTGAAATTACATTTCCCTTACAAGTCCCCCAATTCTCAGAGCAAATCATCTTGAAAGATGTGTACCTACCCAAACTTTCCACATCCTTTTCTACCATCCATTGCTCATACCACTGTAATCAGGCTTCTCTCCCCTCAGTCCCACATTACTGCAGTTGTAATTGTCAAAGTCAGCAATGATGTTCCTATACGAAACTCAGTATCTCTTCTTTATTTTCATCCTACTCACACATTCAGCCACATTTGACACCATTGGATCATTCTCTTCTTTTGGTAGCATCATCTTTTACTCTCAGGCCACTACAACCAATAGGTTTTCTAAGTACTCCCCTGGACTCAATCTTTACTTGGCCAACTGTTCCTCTTCAACATGACATCTAAATATTGAAGCAGCCTGTGGCTCCATTGCAAGCTTCATTTTCTTCTCATTGAATACTCTCTGGCAATTTCATCATCCCATAGGTTTAAGTGCATTTCAACTCCCAAGGGCATGACTTCCTCTGAAGCACAAACTCATTTAGTAAATCTGTATAATTTACATATCTCAAAAACATTTTAAGAAATTTTGTAAGAACATTTTCAATGTTCCTAACTAGACAGCACTTAATTATGACAATGTTTTCAGTCTCTAACTCAAAGCATGTATGCATGTATGTGTTTTCTTAGATGATTTTCTGTTTTGAATTGTACCTCCTTCTTTCTGTGCATAAATAATCCTGTTTCCTTTACAAAACTCTCCTTTTTTTGTTGCATATTAACTGGGAAGACTTGAAATGTAAGGCCTCAGGCAATATTTCATTCATTTTGAGTTAGAATTAAAAAAAAAGCCTATAGTTCACAGCTTAAAAGAATGCAAAATGGAAATAAAATTGGGAATGCAAAATAGTTTAGTCCATACAAAAAAGTTTGTCAATATTTTGTAAACCTAAACATACACTTACCACATAACCAATTGGTTTTACTCTGAGATCTTTTCCCAAGTCAATAGACAATTTATGTTCATGTCAAAACCTGTACATAAATGTTTATACTGTAATGGCTTTTTTATAATCAACAAAATAGGAAAAAACAGAAATGTCCTTCAACTGGTGAATGGATGAAAAAACGATGATACATCCACACAGTTGGATACTATTCAGAACTAAATGGGAAAGGACTGCTAGTAGATAAAAGAATATGGATAAATCTGAAACATATTATTCTAAGTGAATGAAGTTAGACTCAAAATGTATGATGTCATTTATATGACAAAATAATAGTGACAGTAAACAGATCAGACAGTTGGCAGGAGCCGGGGGGAAGGAATACAAACAGGCACCTGAAAATTTCTGTGGCTGATGAAAGTTGTATGTCTTGAATTTGGTGGTGGTCTCATGACTATATACATTTGTCAAAACTTGCTAAATTGTATACTAAAAAAGGTCAATTTTACTGTATGTAGATTGTACTTTAATTAATAGTGAAAAAAGAAATTTATAGTGTTAAATAAATGAGTATGAAGCTTCTAATATTTCTGCTTCTACAGATTTCAAGTACCCATCGGAAAATTGCACTCATGTTACTATTTTTGTGAAGAGTTTTGGTTTGACTCTTTTAAAAATATAAACATATTTTGTTTTTCAAGAATTAAACTTGACAATTCACTTATTGAATCAACTTCTAAGTTCACTGTTTCTCCTTGTATACATTTCCTAGTCACCACTTTTCTCCTTGCCGAAATTATTTTATTGAGTCTGAGGATAAATACTTTCAATGCCATTTTTAATTAGACCTAATTCATTAATGATGGCTCAGCTGTGCCTGGAATTCTAGGTGTGCAGTTATACTTCTTCAGCACTTTTGAATATATTTCTTCCTTGTCCTATTGCTGCTATTGATAGTCCACTATTATCTAGTTGTCTTTACTTAGTGGCTAATCTGTCTTTTATTTCTGGGAGAATATAAAATGTTTTCATTGATATTGATACCCTATAAGTTCAGTACTCTATGAATTCCTTTTTGTTTTCCTTTCTAGAACTTGGAAAATTGTCCATTTACTCTTTAAGCATCACTGGTGGCAGAACACAGTAACATCAAGACACATAAGCCATACTGAATTGCCAAAGGTCAATGAAGGGTAGACCTCGCATTTAGACTCCTCAGGGAGCAGTCATATTGAATAGGAAATAGTCCAGGGTAAAAGGACCATAAAGAAGGAAGCAGCATGCCACATAAGTAAGGAAATCAACCTTATATGCTGGGACAGAGTGCTGGCCACACAAGGAGGCTTTATGTCCTGCTCTATTTAGTTAATTTAGAAATGAGCCATCAGTGCTTTGCTTGTGGAATAGAAACATAGAGCCTTGGAGCTTATTTAGTGAAAGAAGAATACAGGAATTCCAGGCCAGGAAACACGCCCATGAGGATTAATTATCATCCTGGTCCTGGGCCAGCATTTCCAGGGAGGCCATTTGAGCTGAGATGATAAGTCCCTTGGAACATAAGGGTAAAATAGAGGGAAAAGATTATGGGTCAGAAGACAGGGCACCCTCTCTCAGGACAAGGCTCTGGCTCACCTTTGGCTCCAGGGAGAGTGAGGCAGGGGACAACAGAATCTTCTTTGGGCAGCTCTTTCAATATCAACTCAGTATCTACTTCCTCCAGGACCCTGCAGCCTTTATCTTTGCTCCCTGACCCCGGCAAGAATTAAGGAAAGTCTGAGTATCTGAACCCAAGAAGTCAGTCTGGTAACTGCTCTAGGGCTAGAGGGGTCTCTCCCTGGGAACCTGTATGAAAGTAGTGGTTTCTACTAATTCTTCACAGGTAGGAAAACAGGAAAGTAATCTTCTTCCTGTATAGGAAACTACCCAAATTCTGTATTAGCTGTCTTTCTGCATCCACTTCCATCTCCAGGGAAGACCTGCAGATAACTGGAAGGAATAGAAGGGCCCTAATGTCTAATCTCACTAGGACTTTTCAGACACTTAACCCAGCTTGGCAAAAATTAAACCAACTGAATACTGCTGAACAAAGCCACGTCCTTTCTTCCCGTTTTGACTGGAACATCCTTGACCTTCAAACAATCCCTAGGAAAGTCTGAGTGGTCAGACGGCTCAGCTTCTCACCACCTGAGGTAAGGATTTTGTATCTCTTTCAGGGAAAGGTGTGCTTCTAGGCAAGTCATGTAGGAAAAACGGAGTCCAAAGCATATCCTGAGAACTTAAACTACTCTGTCTGCCAGATTCCTAGTATAATATTTGGGCTTCATAGCTTGTTCCAATTTGTGTATTCTTAATTTTCCAAACCTGAAAAGAGAACCAATAAGGACTGTGCTACAGCCCAGGCATGGGTATCTGCTTCCTGGTGGAAATTGCAATACTTGTCTTTAGACCCTATGTGCTCTGCTTCCTTTTAGTAATGCATTTTTGCATCTATCAGATGATGAATATCCCTCAAAGGGCCATCTAAAACATGATGATGTGCCCATTACATGTTCTCATACATTTTAACCATTAAGGTACTAATGGCCCCATAAAAGGTCAGTGGAAACCAGTGAAATATTAAAACACAGATGCCATAATATGGAGAGATGATTTATAGAAGGGCGCTTCATTTCAAAATCTTTAACTGCATGCTCAGAGTTGGCTTTATCGGTCCAGTTTCATGATGCACACAGACTCCTATCAGTCTTAGGCCCTTTTCCTCCTTGGCTTCTCCATGGCATTGGGTACCACAATGCCAACAGCTGCTTTCCAGAAAAGGAGTTCGTCTCTATCACTGTGATCCTTCCATCAAGTTTAGATGTTCTAGCCCTGCAGAAGGGAGAGTGAACATCTGGTCAAAGGCAGGAGAGAGGATAAAATTATTGAGCATGATTACACATAAAATAGATGCTCTTTTGTTCCCTTTCACCATTTCTCCCAAACACAAATATCCTACTCTTCCTAGGAAGGACCTCATATATTATGTTTCTGAGCCCTTCCAAGCTAACCTATTTTAAATAAACATGTTTGCATTGATCCTAAAGTATTTAGCTCTAAACGCAACACCTCCTCAAACACAACATATTCTTGTCTCAGACAGTCCATCATCCCTTCTCTCTCAAGCTTCTGTAGGGCTGGCTAAGAGAGGTAATTGAGATGGACAAGTTTTAGTCTACTAATGAGGCTTTCATCTACTGCCTTTAGTACTGCAAACAAATGTGGCTCTTAGCTCTATGGAGAAGGAGGGGAAGTGCTTTATTGAAATCCAATCTCCGTATGTTTGGAATTTCATATCAAAACAGGTCTATGAAGAAAACTAACTGAATAGGTCCAAGGATAATCTAGGGTGTGTGTGGCAGAATATTTCTTTAATCTTAAGAGAAGGATAATTTAATTTTTCTGGAAAGATACATGTTCAGGTTTAATGTCTTAAATAAGATTTTATGTATCTCTTAATGTTTAGTTATTACTGTGATGTCTGTTCTCCATTTAGATGGATCTTTTATTAAAATACTACAAAAAAAGTCAGACATTCAGAAATCAAGAGGAAAAGCCAATTATCAGTGGAAGGGTATTATCTCAGTGGATTCATGTCCTACAGAGCCCCTGATGTTACAAAACTAGAGTTCATCTTAGCAAAAATTCATGGAGTATCCATCTTGTTCTAGGTAATGAAAGAAGCCACAGCATGGAGCTCTGGAACTCCACCTTGGGAAGTGCCTTCATCTTGGTGGGAATTTTGAATGACAGTGGATCTCCTGAAGTGGTCTGTGCTACAGTTACTGTCCTGTACATGTTGGCCTTGACCAGCAATGGCCTGCTGCTCCTGGTCATCACCGTAGAAGTGCAGCTCCACGTGCCCATGTACCTACTGCTTGGGCAGCTCTCTCTCATGGACCTCCTGTTCACATCTGTTGTCACTCCCAAGGCCCTTGCAGACTTTCTGCGCAGAGAAAACACCATCTCCTTTGAAGGCTGTGCCCTTCAGATGTTCCTGGCACTGACAATGGGTGGTGCTGAAGACCTCCTACTGGCCTTTATGGCCTATGACAGGTATGTGGCCATTTGTCATCCTCTGAAATACATGACCCTCATGAGCCCAAGAGTCTGCTGGCTCATGGTGGCCACATCCTGGATCCTGGCATCCCTAAGTGCCCTAGTATATACCGTGTATACCATGCACTATCCCTTCTGCAGGGCCCAGAAGATCAGGCATCTGCTCTGTGAGATCCCACCCTTGCTGAAGTTGGCCTGTGCTGATACCTCCAGATATGAGCTCATGGTATATGTGATGGGTATGACTTTCCTGATTCCCTCTCTTGCTGCTATACTGGCCTCCTACACACTAATCTTATTCACTGCGCTCCGTATGCCATCAAATGAGGGGAGGAAGAAAGCCCTTGTCACCTGCTCTTCCCACCTGACTGTGGTTGGAATGTTCTATGGAGCTGCCACATTCATGTATGTCTTGCCCAGTTCCTTCCACAGTCCCAAGCAAGACAACATCATATCTGTTTTCTACACAATTGTCACTCCAGCCTTGAATCCCCTCATCTACAGCCTGAGAAATAAGGAAGTCATGGGGGCCTTGAGGAGGGTCCTGGGAAAATACGTGCTGCTGGCACAATCCACGCTCTAGGGAGATCTCCTGGCTACCTCCCAAAATTCTTTCTCCTCAAAGTCAGAAAATTCATGTTATGAATCAAATACTAATGGTAAATTAATACAGTTCAGAGTGTAGCATTTAATAGAAAAGTGAAGGAATGTAACTGGATTTGTCAAATGCTCTTTCAATCTTCTCTCCATGAAGTAATTTATAGGGCATGATTTATATTATCTAAAATTACTCTTCACTCGATATAAAATTACTCTTTATTTTTCCAGGAAGGTACTTAGTTAAATGGGTCCCACCTTGGGACATGACCTCTAACCTTGGAAGTTTATATTGGATCAGAGAAAGGAAAAGAACCAGAGAAAGGAAAGTTTCAAGTGGGTGGCCTAAGCAAAACCCAAACATCAAAGGGGGAGATGTCTTGAGATTTGCACAAATTTAGACCAACTGATCTTATTAAAAGATTATATAGACTTCTTGTCAAATGTCCCAACTGGTAATAGTTTGCTTGTATTTGCATTGTACTAACTCTTTTTTTCTTTTTCTAAACATCAGCCACATGAAACACCCCAACAGGTGTCTTTGCTTGTTTGTTTTTGTTTATGGGTTTTTGACATGGAGATATTTTATAGTTCCTAAAATTCAATTATTAATGAAATGGAGAAAACAGAGGCGAAGGCAGTCGATAAGCAAAGTTTATGATAAATAACTCTGCTTATTTTTTGCTAAAAAAAACCAAGCAAAATAGTGATTTTTCCATTATCCAAGGTTATCTTGAAACATTCCAACAATTGCAGCGGTCACATGTGTGGTGGGTGTGGATATATGAGTCAGTGTGTCTGTGTGTTTGTGCTCAAGAAGGAGAGGACAACATACTGCATTTTCTCACCAGCTTAATTATGCTGCACTACTATTAGTTTGTAAGTCTAAGAATACTGAAAACAAAAGGCGTCAACAAAAGCTGTGAGTTGCATTTTGAACCTTAAAAACAATTTAAAATAATATGGCTAATTAAATTACACTCTTTTGGAGGATATTGCTGTCTGTAGATAGCTAACACTTTTTAAGTCAATTCTGTAGTAACTTAAAACAATAACTGACACTAGGTTCAGAAAGTATAGTGGTATATCATGTTTGGAAGGCAGGCCGAGTAGAGATAGTTTCTACACATATTTATATGAATTTCCTTCCATTTTAATACAGGCATGCAATTTACTGATTTGATATGTGTGTGTAAAACAGATTTTTAAAACCTACTAGCATATGGTTATTTTTCTCTATAGTATATACAGCTAGTGCTCGACTTACGACCACGGTCGGGACCGCGGACCGGTTGTAACACGATTTGGTCGTAAGTTGAGTAGGCTATATGTACAGTTGAAATGGTGCACACGGAGATGGTAGTGCTGCCGGAAGCTGGTCCGCACTGTCGTACGCCCAGCTGGGCAACGTTTGCACTGCCAGATGCGGAGCAGTCGTGGCTAGCGATTGTGGTCGTAAAGACGAATGGTCGTAAGTTGCATAGGTGGTAAGTCGATCAATACCTGTAATGGCAGTATACAGCACTGCAAAGAGTCTAGGGTCTATTATCAGCGTCCAGAGTTAGAATTCAATACACCCCACTTAGTTCTATAACTTTGAGCATATTACTTAACTTGTTTGTGCCCAAGTCTGCAAGTTTACAAGTCTGCAAAGTGTAAATTGACATTAACAATAAGACTTACTTTGTACTGTTGTGAGGATTAAACAAGATAGTAAATATAAATATAAGGCATCTTTCTATTTGTAATCAGCATGTGTCATATAATAACTATTTAATAAGTTTAACACCTACAGCATAAATGGCCCTGAAAATACTGTTGAGTGATAGTATAACATTACATCATATGGGTGTTTTGTAACATTATTAGCTATCATGGTTTTACCTTTAACATTGCCGTGTGTGTGTGTTTGAAATCAGTAATGTCAATCTCTTGGATGTAGGACTTTTTTTTCTATAGAAAATTCCTATGAATGAAATTACTGAAACTAGGGTTAAAAATCTACTTAGTACCCTTGATATGAAAAGACAAATTGGTTTTTAAAAAATATTAAATATTTTGCATTCTTAACAGCAACATATAAGTGTCCTTAACCCACTACATCTTTTTTCATGTTAAATTTTACATATAAATAGTCTTCACTAATTGATAAGGTATAATATTTGTTTATTTTAGTTTGCTTAAGTAACTTGTTCACATTTTTCTTATCAGTTTGTTGAAGTTCTTTACAGGTTAGGAACACAGAGACTTTGTTATATTTGTGGTAATAACTTCTTTTGAATTTGTTATTTGGCTTCCAATGTCTTCACAGTAGATATTTTTAGACAGAGAAATATTTAAAATATTTTCATAAAGATATATTTTATGTTTTTTTTTTCCAGTGATTTTTCACTCTTAGGATATAATTTTTTATTCTCATTGACGTCTTTGATGTCTGTTACACAGTCCAATTTAGGTAACAATTTATATACTTTACATATTTTGTCATTTTATAATTTAACTTTAAAAATAAATGTCTGATTTATCTTTTCATGTGAAAATGATATTTTAACTTTCATCAAAGTTACCATTTTTTCAGTAATATTTTAAAGCAATCCTTCAGGTTTTTTTTTTTTTTTGAGAGCAACATGGCTGTTTATTCACCTGGGTGGCAGGTGGGCTAAGGCTGAAAAGGGCATTAGCAAAGGGCAGTGGGATAGGAGTTGGTTTTATAGGTTTGAGTGGTTTTTTGGAGGATGGGGGTGTTACAGAGTAAGTTCAGTTACAGTGGTGGGGGGTAGGGGCAAGGAGTATACAAGTTCAGTTCCAATGGCAGGGTTGGGTGAGAGGTATTTACATTATCATAAGAACAGTTAAGATGGCAGGGTTGGCTGAGGGGCTTGTGGGAAGCTCTGCTGGGCGATTAGGGACAATGGCTAACTCAGACAGGGTGTGGAAGACTTCAGCCGAGGCAAGCGGGACTTCAGACATTCAGGCTCCAGACTTGCATATGGAGACCTGATATACCTATCTTTTTATATATAGAGAGAAAGAATTAGAGAAGAGGGGGTGATAACAGGTTTTAGGGGGTGAGGGCGAAGTTTCTCAAGGCTTCTTCCAGCAGGATTGGGGGCAGGGCGGAAACCTAAAAATGGGAAAGAATTTAAACTGCTGGGAGATTTTGGGGAAAGGGGTAATATTGTGGGGTTGTTAGAAGGAGCTTTTGTCATATTGACTGGTTATTGCTTGTATACGATTTTATAGGAATTGAGAGATTAATTGGAAAAACACAGGGCTTAAATAAGAGAAGGAGAAGGAGTATTAGAGAAGGTTAAGTGTGTGGAGGGAGAGTTTTTGTTTTTATGGTGTGTGAGGAAGCTCGTGGTATTTATATGTAACCACTCACTTTTATTAACAATATTGGGTTTGAGCAGAGAGCGGGAGCCAGATTAAGAGTGAAATATTAGCTGTAATTACCTGGAGGAAAAGTGTAAACCGGCAACTTAAACAAAAGCAGGGCATGTAAAAGTAAATGAGTACAGTGAATTTGAGCACAGTTAGCAAATAATAGAAACAGACTTTTTGAGGTGTGGTTTAAGTAGCAGGGGCGACTGCATAAAGGTGGAGAAGGCGAGGGGCTGAAAGTGTGTGAGGTGTGAAGAGAAAACTTCAGAGGTTGTGAGAGCTAGATGTTAACTGGGGCACAGCCTGTGATTCTAAGGAATTTTAAGAGTATTAGGGCGGCAGCTGCTGCTTGCTGCGTGTTGTCATGAGGGCCAGCCCAGGACTGTTAGGTTAAATTGTTTGGATAAAAAGGCCACAGGCCATGGGCCTGGCTCCTGTGTGAGAATTCCCACTGCACAGCCCTAGGTTGTAGCAGTATATAATGAAAAAGTGTTGAGACAGGCTGGGGAGAGCTAGTGAGGGAGCAGGTTTTAGAGCTATTTTTTTAAGTAGCACAATGAGGAGTGAGGAAAGGCTTTAGGATTAATAGGGTTGGATAAATTTTCTTTAGTGAGTTTATACAGTGGCTTAGTTAGAATGGCAAAACCTGGTATCCACAGGTGAAAGTAGCAACCACACCCAGGAAGGAGAGAAGCTGTTGTTTGGTGGATGGGGTTGGGGTTTGGGAAATTAACTGGATACAGTTGGCAGGAAGGGCGTGTGCATGCTGGCGAAAGATTATAACAGATGGGGAAGAAATTTGGGCTTTGGAAGGGGTTACACAATACCGCTTTGAGTATAGATGCTGAAGAAGCAGGAGGGTGAATTAAAAGTCCATGTTGCAATACAGGGTGATAACAGGTTTTACATTTAAAGGCTGTTGTGGGATGGGGTGCTGGGGCTGCGCAGGGTAAGGGTGGTTAGGTTTTAAGGGGATGATGAGGGGTGAGTGACTTGTAGCAACGGATGGGAAGGCGGTGTTTTACACCCTAGGATTAAGGTTCGGGAACATAAGGGGAGATATTGAGGGAGGTACGGGTTTGGGGAGGAGGGCAGCAATGAGGTGTGAATGTAGCCCAGGAATAGTTAAGGAGGTGGACAATTTTGCTCGGATATCCCGGCCTAACAGGGGAACTCAACAAGTGAGGATGATTAGGAAAGAATGTGGAAAGGAGTGCTGGCCTAATTGACACCAGACCTGGGGAGTTTTGAGAGGCCTGGAGGCCTTGCCGTTAATTCCCGCAACAGTTACGGAGACAGGTCCTTGAAAAAAAGGCAGTGTGGGGTGGGAGGCCCCCGTGTTAAGAAGGGGATGGACTTACCCTCCACCGTAAGTGAAGTTTCGCATCCATGATGGTCCAGGGGGCTTCCAAGATGCTCAGGCAGCGTTAATGTTTAGCCGCCAAGCCGAGGATTGGAGCTTCAGGAGCTCTGGGAGCAGCAACGTAAGTCAGACAGTCGACTTTCTGTGGGGCCCCGCCGCACAGACGGGGCAGGGCTTAGGAGAAATCCCGGGCTGCAGGCATTTCTTGGCCCAGTGGCCAGATTTCCGACACTTGAAGCAAGGTCCAGGAGGGGTGGCTGGTCACGCTGCAGTCTGGGCGCTTTGAAATCTTTGTGAGCGGTGGAGAGGCTGGGGTTCGTCTTAGGGAAGACAAAAAATCTGCCGCCGGGCAGATTTTTCGCTATTATTGAACACCTTGAAGGTGAGGTTGCTTAATTCCTGTTGTGGGGTTTGAGGGCCAGATTTTAATTTTTGTACCTTTTTGTAATGTTGGGGTTGACTGGGTGATGAAATGCATTATTAAGCTTTTTTTAGGGGTGAGAGTAGAAGTAGGGATGACATTTAAGTCCTTCCAAGTGAGGTTACAGGACTGGGTTAAGTATTGGAGGCTTTGATGAAAAGGAGCCTAACTGGTGGCCAATTTGGAAAGGCTGGATAAAGGAAAAGGAATGTGCACCCTAACTATGCCTTTGGCTCCAGCCACCTCTGGAAGGGGGAATTGTTGGGGAGGGGCAGAGGAGGTAGCGCAGGACTAAACTGTAAGTTGAGAGTTGAGATTAGGGAGGGATTGATGTGTAAAAAAATGCCTGGACATAG